TCATCCTGGGAGACAGCGGCGAGCCCGTACGGGTCATGGCCGATATCACCTACCTCAGCAACGCTGCCACATCGAGGCACAAGAAGGATGGCCGCGAGCGTTCCGCTCGCTCTCCAGAGTGAAAGCGCTACCAGGAAGGCTCCCCGTCGCGGAGATGGCGTCGGCGTCGTCGGCGTCGCCATTCACGTTCTCGTTGTAGTCGTCGTCGTCGTTGTCTCGACGACGTCCTCGACGAATCGTCGTCGTCGTCGTCGTCGTGGTCTTCGGCGTCGGCGTCGTCGTCGTGGTCGTGGTCGTCGTCGTCGTCGTCGTCGTCGACGTCGTCGAGCGGTCATCGTCGTCGTCGTCGTCGTGGTCGTGGTCGTCGTCGCCGCTTTCGACGTTTCAATGCCGCCGCCGTCGGAGTCCTCCAGCAACATCACTGCTACGCACCACCAACGCTCTTCCTTCGGCAACTTCCGTAGCGGACAACCTGGAATTCTAAGCGCCCCCGCCGAGGAAAAACTGCCAATCTGCTTCGCACAGATCTTGCAGAGATACGAACGAGATGATTATCTGGTCGGACTGGGTGACCCTATCAGCCATTCCAGTGAGACCTAGCGCCTAGACACCGGCTTCACCACTTCACCCAATGCGCCCACGCGGAGAACCAAACAAACCTGCCGAATTGTTGCGCGAGAGATCCGCCATCTTCACAGCGAAATACACCAAACCCTTCACATCAAGCTCTTGCAGATAAGTACGATGCCGCCGAAGAGGAAAGACTGCTCGTGGCCCACTGCGCCTGATGCGAATAGCGTACTCTTTTCTCGGCGCCGCCGTTCCGACATGGAGCGCCCCGCTCCGATAAGCTGCTTCCAACTAACTGGGCTCACGTGAGGGTGAGCAATGCCAGGGCCTCAAAAACCTGCGCTACGCGCGTTGCCCTGGATGCCCATGTTCGACACTCCAGCGTACTTATCATCCCCGACATGCGATGCTTCACAGTTGCAACGTCGCCGACGAAGTCTACGCGCCAACGGGCGTCCTGGTCGGTGAACGGGTTCATGCTGCACACATGGAAATACAACCTCGTGCCTACCAGAGCGACGAGTTTCCTCATGCAATTGAGGTCACCGCTGCCATCCTGCATCGGCTTCTTCGTAATGTGAGCGAATTTGATCGCGAGAGCCTGCTTCGTGAACACTATTGCTCTGACGGCGTTCAGGTTTATGTGCAGAACTAGCTCTGGCGGCAAGCACTCCGCCATGTATGCTGGGCGACGGCAGTACGGCGACGATCGGTCCTTGCCACAAGAAGGAGGCGTGATCACCGACTCCTCGCCCTGCTCGCTCCAAGGAGCCTCGTATGCTAGCCTCTTATGCTAGCCTCTCCATGCCGGCAGCAAGGAAACCTGGAGACGGAGGCGTTTGCTGATGGGCGGAGCTAAGCTCACAGCCGAACCGCAATGCTGTGAGCCAAAGTGGCAACAGCGACGACAACGCTGGGGCGCTCCTGGGCGCTCCTTGGCCTTCGGCGTCTTGGACCGAACCGCTCGCGTGAAAGCCTGCGTGACCGCGCCGCAAGAACTCCGAGAAGGAAAAGGAGGAGGAATACGAAGAGCGGAACGACCGATTCCAATTCTACCAGAGGTTACGACTCATTGCAGGACGATCCCGAACGTCTCACACACACGGAAAGGCCCGAACGACTCCCACTAGCCCCAGTAGCCCGAACTGCTCACGCCACGAGAGGCCCGATCGACTCACACACACGGACGAACCCGAACGACTCTCGCCAGGACGACGGGCCTGGACGACGGACACCACGACGAGCCTGAACGAATCACACGGAAGGAAAGGCCCGAACGACTCACAGCAGGACGAAGAGCCCGAACGACTCACACAAGGAAGAGCCCAAATGTGTCGCAGACCACAACACGCGCCAACCACTCACAAACAATGAGAAGACCGAACAACTCACACCAAGGCGCGGCGCCCGAACCTGCAACGCCCCGAGAATCTCGAGCGACTCCCACACAAGGAAAGGCCCCAACGACTAACGCCAGGACGAACGGCCCCAGGGACGCACAGAAAGTTCGAGAAGCAGAACGCACGAACGAACGGCCCGAACGACTCCTAGAACACGTCCCAGCAAAACAAGGAACCCGAACGAGGGAGCGTAGGCCGCCCTTGAAGCCAAACGTGAGAATCGTCAGGGTACTCCTCGAGGGAAAACGAACGCGGCAGCAGCCAAGACGGCCGCCCCGAGCGAGCGGCAGGGTCGTCGACGTCGTCGTCGTCGTCGTCGCCGGGGAGTACTGACTCGAACACCAACCTTGGAGAATATCGCATACGATTCCACAGTACACCACACAAGCAACACAACATGACGTGTCTGAAACGTGGCGCTCGATAACCGTCAACGGATTGTAGTGTCCAATCGAAGCCATGCTACACGTAGACACCCTGTGAGAACCCGGGAAGATACCTGGAACTGCACCAAGCACAACCTTGTATAGTACTATATCCTGACAATCGGGGAAACCTGCAACACGAGAGAGCTAGACCCCAGGCCCCTGGATACCCTGAGGCACGATACGCCTCGAGCCACTACATGGACTGTGACGGGATACGCCGACACTCATGTTGAGAGCCTCGAGCTCTTGCATACCTGCAAGACCTCTCAGCACACTGTACTCCTGCACGACTTCGAAGAGCGTTCTACCTAATCTACTGTGTCCCGTTGTTCCATATAACAAGGCGAACCACTTCAGCCCGCGCGTTGCGTAACGCTCCACGCGTCACGTGCACACGAGCGCGGCAGACGACACTTGGAACTTCGACTCTCAGACCTCGACATGTGCCTACTCAACATCCAAAGGAAAAATGGCACACCCCTCTTACTCTCTTGGGAAGAGGAGGAGGACAACGTTAAACTTCTGTGCATGTCTTTCTGTGCTTTCTTGATGTGCGTCGGAACGTCTTTGATTTATGCGTGCGTCGCGCACCCCTCTAACTCTCTTGGGAAGAGGAGGAGGGCAACGTTGAACTTCTGTGCATGTCTTTCTGTGCTTTCTTGATGTGTGTCGGAACGTCTTTGATTTATGCGTGCTTCTGTCTTGAAAACATGCGTGTATCGGTGTGGAGGGGAATCAATGGTCTGATGTCGCAATGACGATGGATCGTGCCGAGAAAATCTCGAGACTGGCGCGTCTCTGAGACATCTCGCGATGACCGGCGTGCCTGCATGTCACCGAGCGCTAACCGCCACGACGACCTGCTGACACGAACGCGGGGCGAATGGAGAAGGATATGACTCACATCATATGCAAAAGTGAAGAGCCCGTAGCGGTGCTGGGCTACGTGCGGTACTTGCGCACACCAGCCACCTCGTGCCAAAAACACAGTGGGCGCGTGCGTTCGGGTCGGAAGCCAAGTCACCATTGACGTGGTGGTCGTGGTCGTCGTCGTCGTCGCCGTCGTCGTCCTTTCGTCATCGTCGTCATCGCCATCGCCATCACGTTCGAAGCCATGGGAAACAAAGTGCCGCGCGCCGACCGCACTGTCGAAGCTCAACATGAAACGAGAGTGCCGGCAACCAACATTCTGCGCGCTCGCTCCCAGGAGCCCCCGTGGCAAGCAAAAGTACAAAAAAACACAGGCGCTTCTCCATGCCAGCCGCAAAGATGATGCTAGTAAGCGGAGACTATTACGGGTAGGCGGAGCGAAGCTCACAGCCACACTCCAATATTAGCAGCCAGAATGGCAACGACAACAACGCTGGTCGGGAAAGATCGCTGGTTTCGACGACGACCGCCCTCTGTCTTGCCTCCCAACTCCTTCCCTCCCGCCTCCTCTTCCGACTCCTCCTGCTTCGGACCATAGAATACACGTACAGGAAAACAGACACACGCTTGCACCAAACAAATGTCGGCATGCTTCGCTGGGGTTCCTCGTCGGCGATAGCACTACCACTACTGCGTCTACATTTCCTACAACGACTACTACGACTACTACGACGATTCCTACTCTTACTACTCCCACTACTACTTCTACTGCTACTACGAGGTCTACTACAACTACTGCTGCTACTACTCATCCTACTACTGCTGCTCTGCCTCCTAATCCTACTACTACTACTACTATTACTACTACTACTACTACTACTACTACTACTACTACTACTACTACTACTACTACTACTACTACTACTACTACTACTACTACTACTACTACTACTGCGAGCACTACTCCTTCTACCACGACACCTACATCTACTGCCACTGAAACTTGTCGTGTCGCTGCTACTGCTACTACTACTACTACTACTACCAGTACACGGAGGCGGGAGGAAGAAGGAACCGGGGAGCTATGCGGAGCCCAGCGGACACACGCCTGACACACACCACTGTCGGCATGCTTCACGAGAGGTGCTGCTGTGAGATGGGCTGGTGGGGGTACGCGAAGCGTAAAGAATTTGGTCTATCTGCAAAACGTGCTGTCAAACTGTGCAATTCCAAAACACTCGCTCCTTAAGCCAGCGCCGATCTGGATGGCTGCCTTACCTGCTAGCCCGAGTGGCAGGAGGAATGGGGAAACGGCGAAGGGGGAAACTGCCTGCGGCTCTCTGCTTGCCCCCCCGAGTTCTTGGCCGTATAGTGCACGGCACGACAGAACCACATATCTTGCACATGGGAGTTGCCGTCGTCGGTCATCTGCCGGCCTGCTTGCATGGCCTCTCCCTTAAGAGGAGCAGGACCGGGCAGGAAATAAGAGAATACACACGTGAGCTAAGCCTGATCGGATCCATTTGTTGGTCCGCCAGCGGCACAACATTATGCAAAGTCTCCTGCTCCTATATTTGCCTCCTCCCCCTCCGATTTTCCCCATAATGCCAGCAGCAACGTTACTCCACCTCCAACGAGATACACGCCAGATCAAGCTCGACCTTCTCTTTCACCCATCCAGACAATGAGGGAATGGTCAGGTCGCAGGATCTGGCTCATCTACAGTGTCCACGTACGAGTGGTCAAGCAACTTCTTCGCAAACTCAATTTTCACGTAGTAGGCGGGCAGTATTACGTTCACCTGGGCGGCAGGACCACGCCTTCCTTCCTGAGCCCTGCTCAAGGGTGGCTCGACAAGGCTTGCACCAATGATGCAAGAGAACATTGCAGGGCAAACAAACATATTGCACGCAACGAAGGTTGCGGAACCATGCTGGACAAAGTGCAAGGCTCAAGCCCAACAGTGCGGATTGTGGTGGCCTTTTCCTTCAACGTCGCTTTACAGCAACGGCTAACACAATATTATCTAAATTTCTTTTGCTTCACGCGGTGTATGAGAGCCCTCTGTTTGGCCAGCTCAGGGTTGATAGAGTGATGGAAGGGGTGGGTGGCTGGGTGGTGGTGGTGGTGGCTGTGGTTTGTGTGTGTGTGTGTGTTTGTGTGAGGGACGGCGAAGGAGATGCACGATAACATCAAAAATGAATTCGGGGCCTCTTGTGTCTACCCGGGGGGGAGGGGCACGATATACTTCCAAACAAATCTCTCATATGTTTTGGTTCACACCCGAGACCTGCGCATGAGAGTTTGCGGTCCCACCCGCAATGATTTCATTGCTGCTGTATCCCGCTCAGGCCTACCATGTGGTCGCACTGGGCTTACTGCCCACCCCATTCGCACAATGATTTTCGTGCTGATTCGCTGCGTTGCAACATCCCCCTGACCCCGCTCCGCGCCGCCCCTCTCCAATGCGCTCATGTGTACGGCCTTCGGAAACATTTAAGCCCATTGCCGCGTTCCTGTTATGTTCGCGAGTGCATCTAACTAACACAACTTGCACATGCGAACCTCCTGTGGCTAGACGTGAGCTGTGTTCGGGGGGCATGCAGGTGCACATACCTTTTCCCCCGAGCCGCCAGATGACGTCACTGCAGCGAGGGTCCAATTGGGGCCCGTTTAGCGTAAATTGCACATGGCGCTGCAGATGGTGGACAGCGCTAGGCGAGTCGTCGTGCAGAGCAAGAAAGCGGCTGCTATAGGCCAGCGCGTGTGGGCCAAGTGGGCGGAAAGACAGCGCGTGCAACGCGGAAGCAAGAAACGCCTGATCGTCGAGTCCGGAAAAGGTGCACGCGCGCACACACATGCACATCTACATCGCCAACACTTTGATCCGTTTCGAGCTTCCACCAAGACGACGCTTCGACATGCGTTTTGCCAGAACATTGGGCGGATTCTTCATGTCGAACTTCAACCCAGAAAGGTTCGACTTGATATTTGGAGGGGGTTCTGGGCGGAATCGCAATTCCACCTTGGAGCCGAAAAGGTTCCGAATTCAGTGTCCGAAGAACAAATTAACGAACTCGTCATTTTGAGCTCTGAAGCGGAATCGTCTTTTCGACTCGGTCAACCCGTCGTGCATACAAAAACCGAACTCGCCAGAATCATACATATTAGCCAGCTTGGATCCCAAACGTTGTGTTTCTTGCAGTCCTTGTTGTGCAATCTTCGTGGAGCAGTAAATGCTGTGCACTCCATGTCGTCCGGTCTATGTTGTCCAATCGATGTGGGGCAATATATGTGGTGCGATCTTTGTTGTGCAATCCATGCGGTGCACTATATAAACCGTGCGGTCTATGTTGTGCAATATACGTGGTGCCATGTATGTGGTGCAATATACGTAGGTAATTACGTACACATAAAACTATACTGTACAACGTATGCTGCGCAATGTATGTGGTGCAATATATATATATATATATATATATATATATATATATATATATGTGGCGTAGCCTGTGTGGTGGGATATCTGCTTTAATGTCTATGCTGTGCAGCCTATGTCGTGCGGTCGGTGTTGTGAAACGCATGTGTGGACCAACATATGTGGTGCAACCTATGCGGTGCAATCTATGCTGTGCACTTTGTGGTGCAATCCACGTCGTGCAGTTTAAGCGGTGCAACTGATTTGTGTTGGCAACGCGTTGATATCTCCACTGCCCGCGCAACCATCCCACCCATCCACCCGCGACTAGGTTTGCAAAACCTATGCGACGGCGATTGCGATGACTGCTCGGCGCTGGCTGGCGCAGCGCTGCGGCCAGCTTGTTTGGCGCAGCCAATGTGGCCGCGTTGGCGCTGACCGCTGGGGACTACCAAGGCGCATCTCGCATGCCGCGCTGACGCGCGGGCACCTCAGTGCGGGTCGGTGACCCGGGCGGACCATGTATCACGGCGACGCCGACATCGGCAGACACGATGATGATAGTAGCGATGCTGTTGACGAGGGTGGCCATGACGACGGCAAAGCCAACGACGGCACAGATGCTGATAACGCCGAGGACGATGATGGTATCCGCGTGTCGGTGATGAAGATTTGGGAAGATTTCGACATGCGCGCGCGGTCGACGGGCGCGCGATTGGCCCGCATGGTATTACCTGGCAAGTTTCGTGCCCCCCCTTCTCTCCAGCAAACGCGCAAGGGCGATCGAATGATTTCGACGTGCGCGCGCAAGAGGCCCGCTTGGTCGTATTTGATGAAACTGTTTGGAGACACGTGGTTTTCGTGAGAAGTCGCAAAGGAGCGCGCGCAGTTTTTTTGACAAGTCATTTTGCGAAAAAGTTAGGTCTCATATTTCTGGATGCTCGGTCTTGGCATCGCCATGGGATCCACGGCCTTTGAAAGATTCCAGCATTCACGCGCGACGCCGTGCGTGTGCGACTTCTGTTTCATGATGGGTTCTCGAACGTTGCGGATTTTTGATAACGGGTGCGCGCGCAGAATACTAACTGTCAAGACTGGGGTGGTGGTGGGGGTGCGGTCGAACCGGGTTTGGCTGGGATGGTATGGTTCCCGATGGGAAGGAAACGACGGGCCCAAACCATGCGTGAACTACACATGGACGGATAAACCAAGGGGGTGGGGGGGCAAATCCGAATTAAAAAACAGAGAAGACCGGTGGTGCAATCTATGTGGTGCCATCTATCAGTAGTGCTACGGTGTACAGTCAACGTGGTGCAAGCTATGTGGTGCAGTCCACTTTGTGCACCATATGTGGTGCAACCGATGCGGAGCAAAATGCTTGGTGCAACCCATGTGGCGCACTGTATGCGGTGCAATGTATGTTGCGCAGGATATGTGGTGCGACCAATGTTATGGCATCTATGTGGTGAAAATGCGGTGCTGTCTATGTGGCGGATAATGCTAAGCCAACACAATTCGAAACACTGCATGCCCAGACGACGGGTGGTGGTGTCCTCCCTCTCTCTCTGCTTCCCCAACCTCTGAACTCCTGGTCCAAACATCGTTTTCAATTTTGTTTATCTTTCCGTGAGATATGCCCCAAATATATGCGGCCGTCTCCAAACCATACAATCGATGCCATGAGCGCAACTGTCCCTCCTGGTGTGCTCTACCTGCGTCGTGCAATTCTGGCATAATTCTCGTCGCTTTCTCCTGAAAGCCTCGGCCACCGAAGTTGACGGGCATATTGTTCTTCTTGAGTTGCGCGCAATGGTCAGCTTGTCGGCGACCCAACTGTCGTGGGACACAGCGCCGCGCACATGGAGGTTGTGCGACCTTGTGAACGAACGCAAATCTCGAAGCCGTCGTGCTCGTGCTTGATGTCAGCGGCCTGTCCACGCATCAAGCGGCCGTCGTCGCGGCGAAAGTCTTTGTCCTGACATCCTGGCCCAGCTGGCCCTTCGCAGTCGCCTGCGCGCCCGTGATCTTCAGACGCCTCTCGCAAGTCGCTATAGCGACTTCAAGCCGCATCCGTCGCGACGGCTCCTTCTCGCCCGCGCCGTCGGTTCATGCGATCGGCGGAGGAGGGGGGGCGCAGCCCGAACGATAGGAAGGCCGCCTGACATTTCCTCCGCGTGATACTGACTTCCTCGATGATCTTGCCCGCGGCGAAGTTGTCGCTCCACGCAGCGAGCGGGCTGCGCTTGGCGTTGCAGGTCTTGCGCCATGTCTCATTGCGCGGGGTCCGTGCGCAATGTCCACCGACGCAGTGCCCGGGTGGTTCACGACGCAATCCCCCCGAACTGGATGCGCGCAATCAGTCGGCGTCACCGCGGGGAAAGCTGGCCCCAGAGCAGATCCTCGAGGCGGCCCCCGCGTGATATGTTCAGTCGTAGCCGTGCCGCCGCGCCTCGCGTGCATTGCGTTGTGTCGATCTCATGTGCCTCAGAAACCAACCAGTCATGTGTTTGGGTACTTCGCGGCGTTGAAAGCTTTGAGGCACTGGATCATGGCGCGCGTTGTCGAGCGCCCATGGGGTTATCCGCCGATGCACGTGCAAAACCGAAGTTACCTTGCGTGCATTGTACTAGCAGGATCAGCATGACAACCGCGCCCACAACGCAGTGTCCTTCGCGATATGCATGCTGCCAGGGTGATGTGCCCACTGCCATGTCCTTGGTCGGTTCAAGAGTGACGCCTCCCAGCATCTTAGGCAGCGCTGGTATCTCGGCAAGAGAGCGACGCTCATGGACGCAAGAAGCTGTCGTTTCCTTCGGTGCATGCGCCGGATCACATAAGATCTTGTGTGTGTGCCCACGAACAGACGAAATTCATGCGTCTGTGCGTCTGAGAGGCATCGTCGCTCCCCCATGGCTTCTTGTGCCGCGTCTTGAGCATGTCTGGCAGGCGTGGTCGCGCAAAATTCACCGCGACGAAGGTCGCGATCAACGGCTCGTTTGATAGTCCAGAAGGATTCACCAACTCTATGTCCACCTTAGGCAGGTTCGCATGGATAGGCATGGTAGTCCAGTCGCCTCCAGCTGTAGCGCCGCCGTGGCAGCGCAGGGCACGTGAATTCGAACAGGCAGGAGTTGTGGGTGAGCACGGTCGGCAGGTAACAGTAGGTGCATCAGCCAACCGATCACCTTCCCGATTGAAGCGCCGACGGGCACGGCGAAGCCGAGCGCGACCGAGCTGAGCGATATGCGATAACCCCATCCGAGCGATCTCGCATCGCAGCGAGGTCCCAGTCTCCCTCTATCAAGAAGTCATGCGCTGCGTGTGTATTCTTGTGCATACTTGCTAGCTGGAGTGAGCGCAATAGGCCGTGCCATTCAACGTCG